TTCTCTTCCTCCCGTCGGGCTGGCGTCGACCTGACGCCAGCCAGACGCCGACTTGACGTCAGCCAGACGTCGACCTGACGCCAGCCAGACGTCGACCTGACGTCAGCCAAACGTCAGTAAAACGTCAGTAAAACGTCAGTAAAACGTCAGTCAGACGTCAGTCAGACGTCAGGCAAACGTCAGGCAAACGTCATCCAAACGTCAGGCATACATCGTGTAACCGTCAGACATGACGTTTGGCTGATGTCTGCCTGACGTTTCGCTGACGTTTGGCTGACGTCTGACTGACGTTTTACTGACGTCTGACTGACGTCAGGTCGACGTCTGGCTGACGTCAGGTCGACGTCTGGTTGACGTCAGGATTATGTATGGCTGACGTCTGACTGACGTCGGGCTGACGTCAGACTGACGTCTGACAAACGTCAGTTCGACGATTGAAAAACGTCAGTCTGACGTCAACCAGTCGTCTGTCTGCAAATGGCGGGGCGGGCAAGGTTTTATTGAGGGGGGACCTGGCGGAGGCGCACGGGATTGTCCCGTATCCGCCGCAGGTGTTTGAGCATGCAGCTGACCTTGTCGGCCAGGCTGCCGCCCCTGAACTCTGGTGATCCTGCTGGCTCCTGCGAGGCCCTTGGGTACCTATTGGGAGGCGCCCACATGGCCATTGGACATTGTCCAGGGGCCATGTGGGATACTAATATCTGGGGGAACCAACTACTAGATGGTTCGGTTAGCCTCGAACTCAAACCCCATTCCTCCTCCTTCCTCTCCTCTGTCATCATCCTCCTGCAGCCTTCCCAATGTCATCCTCTCCTCTCCTGTCCCCCGCGCCCTCCGTTCTCCCCTGTTCTCCCCGTGCCCTCTTGACCACCACAAACCTTCCTCCCCCTCTATGCTTGGAACGAGGAGGGGGTGAGGGGGCACTTGGCCAGGACGGCGGTGCACGCCGCCGTGACCTCTGCCCAGCGCGCCTCGGCGTCGGGCACGTGCCGCAGCAAGATCTCGATCTGGGCAGATTGGGCAGCATCTTCGTCCCCTCCTCATCCTCACTGGACCCCCTCCCCCCTCATCGTCCAACTCCTTCCTCCGTCTCCCCTTGTCGGTACGCCACCCTCCTCCGCTGTCTGCGACTCCCCGTGGAAACGTCCTCCCCCCCTCCTCCTCCCCCTCCTCCTGCTCCTCCTCCTCCTCCTCCTCCTCCTCCTCCTCCTCGTGTTTCCTTCTCCTCCTGTTTCCTCCTCCCCCTCCTCCCCCCCTCCTCCTCCTCCTCCTCCTCATCCCCTCAGCGCTGTCATCATCGGCATCGGCCGTCATTGTCACGCGCTGTCGTCGCCATCGCCATCGGCGGAGTGGCGGAGGAAGGAAGGAGGGGGCAGGGGGGGAGGGCGGGACGAACGTGCGAGGGAGGAAGGAAGGAAAGATGGGAGGAGACGAGGGAGGAGGCGATGAGGGTGAGGATTTTCGACCCCACGCAACCGTCACATTCTCGCATAGTAGTGACGGTACTGCAGCTCGGGGACTCGGCGGTACCGCTGGGTCCGCTGGTGCCCGTCCTCGCACCACACCATGGAAATGTACATGGGGTAGTCGGGCGTGAGGGTGAGGGCGGGCTGCCCTGGCTCCCACCCAGCATCTATCTGCCAGGAGGGGGGCCACGGCCCGCCTTCCAGTGGGCCAGCAGGCACCACAGCGATGACGTCGGGGCAGGCGGCCCACTGGCGGGGCGAAGCCTGCTGGAGCATGGGCTCGATCCAGCTCCTGAAGGGCTTGGTCGTCTTGACGCCCTGGCGGTTGCGGTACTGCCGCTGGGGGAGGCCAGGGGGGACGTCCCCGACCTCCATGACGCGCCATGGCTCCCCGAGGCCAGGGGGCGCGTCGCCCCCGCCGAGCTGAATGACCAGGCACGACGCCTGCGCCATGGCGCTACAGCCTAAAACATGGCCACAGAACACGGAGGATCGAGGGAGAGGAGCAGGGGGAAGGAGCGGAACAGAAGAGGAGGTTGGGAGGAATTCTTCTCACCCTCTCTTGCCCCCTTGTTTCCTTTCATCAACGCCCGCCAACCAACTCGGGGTTGGCCGCGAGCGACGGCGCGTGGACGGCCTTGTCCTTCGTGAGCCAGTCATAGTGGCCCAGGTCGAAGGTGTTCGTGGAGCCGCGCTCCACGACCAACTTCAGCAAGGCCTTCTGGAGGCCGCCGCCGAGCGGCGCCGCTGGGCGGCGCAGCGGCGGTTGAGCCCACAGGGCCCGCGAAGGGGATGGGCCGCGGGAGGCCATGGCTCCCGCGCGGAGCCTGTCGGGCGTCCTCTGGGCCGAGGACGTGCCAAAATGGCTCACGGGCCCAGGGAAGCGACAACCCAAGGGCCCACGGCTAACGGCCCCTTGGCCCAAGGAGGAGGACGAGAAGGATGAGGATAGGAAGTAGGGGGAGGAGTGGGGGGAGGAGAAGGAGGAGGAGGAGAAGGAAGAGGAGGAAAAGGAGGAGGATATGAAGAAGGAGGATAGGGGAAGAAGGAGGATGAGGAGGATGACGATGAGGAGGAGGAGGAAGAGAGGGAGGAGGAGGAGGAGAAGGAGGAGAAGGAGGAGGGAAAGAGGAGAAGGAGGTGGATACGGAGGTTGATGAAGAGGAGGCGGAGGATGGTGGTGATAATTAGGCGGCGAGGCTCCAGTTTGCTCACCACTGAGGCGGGGGAGGAGGCAGAGGGGGGGAGGAGGAGGAGAAGGAGGAGGAGGAGAGGAGGAGGAGGAGGAGGAGGAGGAGGAGGAGGAGGGAGGAGGAGGAGGAGGATAGGAGGATGAGGAGGAATAGGAGGATGAGGAGGAGGGGAGGAGGAGGAGAGGAGGAGGAGGAGGAGAAGGAGGAGAAGGGGAGGAGGAGGGAAGGAGCGGAGAGGGAGGAGGAGGAGGAGGAGGAGGAGGAGGAGGAGGAGGAGTGAGCGAGCGAGCGAGGCGAGCGAGGGAGACACAACTGGTGTCCTCCTCCTTCCTACTTATCCTGCTTCTGCTCCCTCCCCCTCTGCCTCCCTCCCTCCCCCTCCTGCTCCTCGCCCTTCCTCCTCTGACCGATCTCACCGAATCTACTAACCTATCGATCTCACATCTCACTATTGGCTTCACCTATGGACTATCTCACTGTCGATATCACTATCCATCTCACGACCTACCTATCGATATCACTATCCACCTATCGCATATCGACCTATAGATCTCACTACCTACCTACGTACCTATCAGTATCACTATCTATCTGCATTGAATAACTATAGCAACAATCTCACTGAATACTGAGTGGCCTCATCGAACGCACTATCGATCTGAACGACTCGGCTGAAGTATCGATATCACAGTCGATCCACTATCCACTGTGGGCTTGATCTCCGCTGTGGTCTTGATCGGTCGCTACCCTTGATCTCCGCTGTGGTCTTGATCGGTCGCTACCGGTCGCGACCGGTAGCGACCGACGGTCGCGACCGGTCGCGACCGGTATTCGCGACCGAAAAATCTGGTCGGTCGCGGAACGACCGAGATTGCGTTTCGCTACCCAAATTTTTGGGTCGCGCATGATCTGGGCGGGGTGAAGAACCGGTCCCGGGGAAGTGGTCGGGAGGTCGGGTGCCCGTGTCTCGAAAAAATCGAGACGTCGGACGTCTGGGATTGTCGGAGGTCCGCGCGGGCTGCTTGGATCTGCGCTTGCCCCCCGTCTCCGGCGCGCGGAGCGCGCCAGGGGCGGCGGAGGCGCCGCCGGGGGGCCCAAGGCGCCGATCCGAGGGATCCGGGCGGACCTCCGAACGTCTCACCCCCAGCAAGGGGGCTCGGCGTAAGTGTTCCAACGCGGTCACCCACCTCGAATCATCGACAACTTCCTGGACCATGTCTTTGTCCTGGGCAGTTTTCGATTGTCGCGGAGCCCGGAAACGGCCTCCAAAGGTGTAATACTGCGGAACAGTTCCGGCTTGATTTCTGTCACAGGGCCGATGGAAACCTCATCCCGCCAAGTCGATGAACGAATTGCCCTCTGCCGGCTCTGCAGGGGGTGTTGCGCCCGCCAGTATTGCGGGCCTGCGCCCGGTGGATCTGGTCTTGGGCCGTCTTCACCAGAAAGCATGTCCTGCTGGAGGGACTTCTGGACGCGGCCAGGACGAGGATCTGCTGGGGGTGTTTTGCGCCCGCCAGTATTGCGGGCCTGCGCCCGGAGGATCTGGTCTTGGGCCGTCTTCACCAGAAAGCACGTCCTGCGGGAGGGACTTCCGGACGCGGCCAGGGCGAGGAGGAATCCGTGCCAGAGCGAGGCCCGCGGCGCCCGAGACATCTTCCCGAGCCGACGGGTCTGCCAGATTTCTTGACGTACCCTCGCCCGATGTCGTCCTCGCCCTGGCTTCGTCTCGGCTTCGTCTCGGCTCGAGACTGCGCCCTGGCTTCGTCTCGGAGTTCTGCCCGCCTGCCCCCCCCCCGCTTCTCGAAAAAATCGCGGCTCCGGAGTTCTGGCCACGCGCAGAAAAGGGGGTAGGGGGAGGGGGGAAGGCCTCTTAGAAGGCGCGGGCCTTCTTTGTAGATGTAAGGCCGGCGCCTTCTAAGAATCGGGGGTGGACAGAACCCCCAACACTGACACGTCGATTAGTGAATTGTCCGTTCTCGGTTCTCGAGAGGGCGCCGTGGCCGTTATTATTTCCAGGCTTGCGCCCGCCAGGTTTGGGCCTCAGGTCGTTTTCACGAAACCACGTTTTACTATAAAGGGGGGTCTGTCCTTCCCGAAAGAAGCAGCCTCCTTCTATCAGGAGCGAAAGAAGGACGTACATGTACATGAATCCACGCTGTTTTCGAGATTTCGCATTGCGCGAATATTCGTATCACGCGGCCGGTCTCGCGGGTCAAGGGGCCGTGTTCATGTACATAGCTGGGCGCGTACGTCCTTTGTGGGCTCCCTATTCTAAGAAGCCTTCCCCCCTCCCCCCACCCCCCTGTGCGCGCCGCCAAGAGCTGGAGTGCTGGCCTCGGTC